TACTGGCTTCTCTTATGTTCTTATGACCTAGGAGACATATTTCCAGGGCCTGCATCTGACAACACACAAACTCTGCTGCCACCCTTCTCTCTGGCCCCTGCGCCATCCAACTGGGGCCTCAGAACAGGTAGGTAACCCACAGGTGAAGCTTTCTCCAGCCACTGAGGTGCAGTTTAGCAGTCTGCAGGCAAAACGTCAAGATGGCAGGAATGACAGCGGCAGAGGTATGTACAAATCTGTGCATTCTATGGGCATAAATTCTTGCCCGTTTCGTCCTCACAACAACCTTGCAAGGTAGGTTAGGCTGAGAGACAGTGGGTGGCGAATGGTCACCCGGGGAGCATCATGAATGAAGGTGGACTTGGTTTCCTCCGACCCTTGTCTGATACTCTGGCCATGCCACTAATTAGTAACTTACTTTGACAAGCCTTTATTGGCATTTGTATATACGTACGATAGGAGATCAGATTAAATACAGATCGGAAAATACAAATCCATGTAGGGTAAAATTGGAGCTACGACACAGGAAAACATCATAAAAGCAGAAAAACCTAATGGTTAGTATCACTTATCAGATCGTATAGCCCTAAGGGGAGCTCCGGTGGCTCGAGTGGTTAAGACGCTGAACTGCAGGCTGTGGAAGGTCAGTAGTTCAGCAGTTCGTTACCCGAGTGCCGCATGACGGAGTGAGCTCCCGTCTCTGGTCCCAGCTCCTGCCAACCTAGCAGTTTGAAAGCAAGAAACTGCAGGTAGCTGAATAGGTATCACTTCGGTGGGAAGGTAACAGCGTTCCGTGCGCCTCGGCGTCTAGTCATGCCGGCCACATGACCATGGAAACGTCTTCGGACAGCGCTGGCTCCTCGGCTTGGAAACGGAGATGAGCACCGCATCCCTAGAGTCGGATTCGACTGCCTTTCGAGCAGGGGAAACCTTTACTATAGCCATAGCACTAAGAAGAAACCTTGCTGCTATTTCAGTTATTTCCGTATCTGGATTATCAAGCAAAAAAAGAACCTTAAAATCGTCAGGAATCCCTGATACTAATTAGTAACAACGGCTCCACGCTGTGGCAGTGAGTCCCACGAAAGAATTGTGCAACGTGTGAAGAAATGCTTCCTTGAAGTGTCCCCACTAAGTCGACCTTCCTCTTTGTAGTGTCCCCACCGATGCTCCCTCTAAGCTGTGGAGTCTTGTGAGTAGAAATTCTACTTTGTGAGCTGCTGGCATCAAAGTTGTGAGCGAGCGATTGGGCTGCTGCATAAATTAGTTTGCTCCGGAGCCCTCCTTCCTGAGCGAAGACAAAAATCTGTGAGCCGGAGGCTAAAAAAACTAGGAGCTAGCTCACACCAACTCACTTTAGAGGAAACACAGGTCCCCAAAGGGTAATATTTTGGGAGAGAGTTCTCCTCTCCCCAGCTTTCACCAGGGCATGCATAATTTTACAAATCTCTGTCGTTATCTGGTCCTTCTTTTCCTAAACAAAACAACAACAACAACCCTCAACCAGGGCTATTTTTGGGCAGGAACGCACAGGAACGGAGTTCCGGCTGGCTCCCGAGTTGGCCACGCCCATCAGGAACTCATTAGCATAATAGGCCACACCCAACAGCAGAAACTCATTAGGATTGGCTACATTAGGGGTGTGTGGCCTAACATGCAAAGGAGTTCCTGCTACAAAAAAGCCCTGGGTTTTGACAACAAACAAGGTAAACAGAATAAGAAGCAACAGGTGGGTGTGGCTGGATGACCACACTTCTGGTAACATGGGGGTGTGGCCTAATATGCCAATGAGCTGTGCTGTCAGGGGTGTGGCCTAATATGCTAATGAGTTTCTGCTGTTGGGTGTGGCCTATTATGCTAATGAGTTCCTGCTGGGCTTTTTCTACAAAAAAAGCCTGCCCTCAACTGTTTAACCTTTACTCAGAAGGAAGGTATTCCAGTGCTAGGTCCTTTGGTTTCCCCTTTTTGGATCTTTTCCAGCTCAGCAGTCTCCGTTTTCAGACGGGGTGACCTGAGGATTCTGGGTACAACCACAGTCCAGGTTTATTGTTTGGGTACCTCTTCTCTCCACCGGTTACGTCGGCAGACCCCAGGTTTGTGTGTTCAAAAATCTTAACACTTCCAAGCTGGCCTGGCCCCTCTTCCTGGGAGGCCAAACCAAACACACAGCTCCGTCCTTGGTTCCAACCTTGAACGTGCGCCCCAGTTTGGTCTGGGCCTCAGAAGTGCCCATGCTACAATTGGAGGCTGCACTTTGCAGCAATACAAATGCCGACTTCGAGAATCCTAACAGCTTGTGCCTGTCTGCTACTCCCCAACTAGATTATCGGCAGACGTCTTTTTGCAGCAGGCTTCCTGCAAAAATATCAGCTGACACACCCACCCGCTCCGGTGTCTTGTCCAAGCTGATGCGCAGCGGCAGACAATGCCTCCAATCTGCCTGGGGGTGCGTCCGTTTTGCATGGCACAAAGCCAGAATTCTCTCTCCATAGGTTTCAAGCCTTCAAAAGAGATCCCCAGGAATGTCTTCCTGGAGGCAAATTAGTTGAAGCCTCCTGTCTGAGCCATCCACAGCAGGAGGCCCGTAAGCAAAGCTGGACAGACTCCTGCAACATGCAAAACCGGGAAGAATTTATGTCCGGCCTAGGTTAGCACAAAGCAATGGTCTGCCTGAGGTTGGTGCCGGAACCGTCACAGGACAATCCTATCCCCTTCTTCCTCCATTCTGCACAGACTTGGGAGTGGTTGTTCCTGATTGTTCAGGACCCTGCCCCAACACTCCCTCTTTGTAGAAGAAGAAGAGACTGGATTTATACCCCGCTCTTCACTACCTGAAGGAGTCTCACAGCAGCTTACAATCTCCTTTCCGTTCCCCTCCCCACAACAGACACCCTGTGAGGTAGATGGGGCTGAGAAAGCTATTTCGAGGACTGCCCCTGAGAGAACAGCTCTGAAAGAACTTGTGACTGACTCAAGGTCACCCTAGCAGCTGCATGTGGAGGAGTGGGGAATCAAACCCGGTTCTCCTAGATTAGAGTCCGGGCTCCTAACCACTACAGCAAACTGGCTCTTAGTGTAGTGCCTCCTCCGTAAATCCAGATACTGACCAAGGACTTCTGCTGTCTACTGTAGGAGCAAGGAGGAGGAGACTCGACGAGAAGGAACCACAGAAGAAAATCAGACGACAGGTGAGCGGCGCGGCCTCTCGAGAAAACCAAGCATGTCCTCTGTGTGTGTTCCTGTCCTCCTGGCAATGTGTGTGTTTTTGGGGGGTGGCACCTGCAACTCCCCAAAGGCCTCACCAGCATCCTCCAAGTTCAGGGCAATGTTTGGGGGAGAAACAGCCGAGACCTGCTCCCGGAGAATCCTTCTCGGGTTACATCCCCGACGAGAGGAACCGGAGCTCGGTGTGGGCGTTGGCACGGCCGGCCGCGTTGGAGATGCCCACTCTCTGCTTGGAGGTGAAGGGGAAGACCTTCTTGAAGGCCTTCCGGAAGTTGGCCCCCATGAAGGCATAGACCAGGGGGTTGACGCAGGAGTTGGTGTAGGACATGCAGTGAGCCCAGATCTTGACCTTGTAGGTGTAGTAGTTGCGCTGGAGGCCCGGGCCAAAGACCTGGAAGAGGATGAGGACCTGCATGGGGCCCCAGCAGACGGCAAAGAGGACCACGATGATGGCAACCATGCGGGAGACCTTGGCTCTCATGGCTTCGGACCGCTCCGCCAGCTGCTGGCCCTGTGGGTGGAAAGCAGAGGGGAATGGTCAGCCCCATGGGATTAGACCACGGGTCCCAAACCTTTTTTAAATTTTGTATATGTCTGGAAATCATGGTTAACTTCTGGTGACCCCTAGTGGGGCCTGGACATTTTTCAGGGAGGTGGCTTGATTAGCCTGCCTCTGCGTCTAGTCCCTGGTATTTCTTGGAGGTCTCCTGTCCAAATACTTGCCAGCGTCAGCCCGGCTTAGCTTCTGAGATCTGACAAGATCAGGCTTGCCTGGGCTATCGAGGTCAGGGCAACTCCCAAACTTTTTAAGCCTGCAGGCAACTTTGGAATCCTGAACCTGAAAAGGTAAATCCAACTGAGTCGAGGGCCAACAATTAAAACTTAATGTATAAATAATATGTACAAATACATGTATTTATCTGTAAAGAATTAAAAAAACATATAGGGGCCCAGCCACCCCACATGTAAAAATTCCAAAATCTCTCCTTATATACAATTCTGTTTTCGAGTGACAATGTTCCATGCGCTCCCAAATCACTTGGGTGCCTGAACTGTCTCTCAGTAGGTGCCCCGTTTTCCACTGGCTGCGTTGTCTGAGTTCCACCCCCACACATTCCACCCAGCCTCTCGGCCTCAGTGTGCGGGGAGGCGACAGACAGGCCAGATGCTTGGCGAGCAAACGGTGATGAGGCCAAGCCCTCTCATGGCGGCACCATGGCCGTCATAGTCAGCCGTGCCTGGGTGCAGGTAGTTCTGTGGCCTGTGAGCCAAGGCCACTGGGACGGAGGCGGCCACGGGTGGTGAAGCCGGGCGGCCAGGAAGGCACTGGCGGGGCGTTCCACTGCCCCTTGGCTCTGGGGTCTGGGGAGGGGGGAGGAAGCAGATTGCCATTGTGTCCTTCTTGGGGTGGAGGTGGATGCAGGCAGTGAAGGTGGGCGCTGCCAACAGAGCTGGGCAACCGGGAACGCACTGGCGGGGCCTTCTGCTGGCCCTCGGCCCCGGGGTCTGGCGAGGGGGAAGAAAGCGGATTGCCATCATATCCTTCTAGAGCTCGTTGTATTGTTTCGACAATGGGCTTTACAGCTAGTCATATATATGCAAGGGCCAATGGACTTGACCTGACACGTAAATACAATACAATTATACAGCATGGATGCCAAATGGACCAGAAAGGAATTGTTCCAGAGTGGAATTACTTGGCATAGAATGAAAGTATAAATGAGGCCTCCCAAGATCCAGTCATATGCCAAATGAATTCAGGGCTATTTTTGGGCAGGAACGCACAGGAAAGGAGTTCCAGCTGGCTCCTGAATTGGCCACGCCCAGCAGGAACTCATTAGCATAATAGGCCACACCCAACAGCAGAAACTCATTAGGATTGGCTACATTAGGGGTGTGTGGCCTAACATGCAAAGGAGTTCCTGCTACAAAAAAAGCCCTGGGTTTTGACAACAAACAAGGTAAACAGAATAACAAGCAAAAGGTGGGTGTGGCTGGATAACCACACTTCTGGTAACATGGGGGTGCAGCCTAATGTGCTAATGAGCTGTGCTGTCAGGGGTGTGGCCCAATATGCTAATGAGTTCCTGCTGTTGGGTGTGGCCTATTATGCTAATGAGTTCCTGCTGGGCTTTTTCTACAAAAAAAGCCCTGCAAATGATATTTCACTTATATTAATTTCTGGTCCAGAAGATGCCTTTCAACAGCTGTTCAATCCAAGCCAAAATGTTCTCAGGAAAATTGTCCCTTTAGCAAAGAGCAGTCCTTATCCTGATAGGTGTTCATCCAGGCGCTGCTTGAAGACTGCCAGTGAGACGGAGCTCATCGTCTCCCTAGGCAGCCGGTTCCACAGCAGAACTACTCTTAATGTTAAAAAAATAATAATCCCTAATACCCAGCTGGTACCTTTTGGCCTGTAATTTAAACCCATTATTGCGAGTCCTCTCCTCCGCTGCCGACAGGAACAGCTCCCTGCCCTCCTCTTCTAAGCGACAGCCCTTCAGATACTTAGAGAGAGCAATCCTGTCGTCCCCCCCTCCACCTCCTCTTCTCCGGACTGACCATTCCCAAGTCCCTCAGTCTTTCCTCACAGGGCTTGGTCTCCAGACCCCTGATCATCCTCGCTGCGCTCCTCTGCACCTGCTCCGTTCCGCCCACGTCCTTTTTGAAGTGAGGCCCATTTCCCCCTTCCCCTTCAAGACCTGGTGGCATGCACTGAGGGCTTGGAGACACTTCCCTCATCTAGCCATAGAATCACAGAGCTGGAAGGGGCCATAAAAGGTAAAGGCAAAGGTTCCCTTGCTCAAAAGCCAGTCGAGTCCGACTCTAGGGATGCGGTGCTCATCTCCGTTTCAAAGCCGAAGAGCCAGCGCTGTCCGAAGATGTTTCCGTGGTCATGTGCCCGGCATGACTAAACACCAAGGCACACGGAACGCTGTTACCTTCCCACCAAAGTGGTACCTATTTATCTACTTGCAATTTCTTGCTTTCAAACTGCTAGGTTGGCAGGAGCTGGAACTAGAGACGGGAGCTCACTCCATCTTGCAGCACCCGGGTCTCAAACTGCTGAACTACTGACCTTCCACAGCCTGCAGTTCAGCATCTTAACCACTTGAGCCACCGCAGCTCCACAGGAAGGGGCCACAGAGGAGATCTAATGCAGGAACAGCCTAGAGCATCCCTAACAAGCATTCGTCCAGCCCCTGCATCACTGCCACAGGAGGTGGTGGCAGCTACAAGCACGGACGCCTTCAAGAGGGAATTAGATAAACATCTGGAGCAGAGGTCCAACAGTGGCTATTAGCCACGAGGTATAGATACATTGTCTTGAGCTTCATTATCAGTTGCAATTCAGGTATCCAACTGATCTCCAAACTTAACAGTGATCAGTTTTCCCTGGAGACAACGGCTGCCTCGGAAGGTGGACTCCGTGGCATTGCACCCTGCTGACGGTTACTTCCCTCTCCAAACCCCGCCCTTCCCAGGCTCCACCCCTAAGATCTCCAGGTGTTTCCCAACCCACAGCTGGCAACCCTAGCGGCTCTTGAGCGCTACTTTTTCACATTCATCCCAGCGACCCCTGCACGCTGTCCAACCTTCACACACACACACACACACACACACACACACACACAGAGGAAGTTGCATGGATTATTACTCAGCTCCCAAAACTACTTTTTCACATTCATCCCAACGACCCCTGCACGCTGTCCAACCACACACACACACACACAGAGGAATGCATGGATTATTACTCAGCTGCCACAAGATGGACAAGTGTGCAGCCTGGAGACCAGTGTTCCCTCTAAGCTGAGCTAGTGTGAGCCAGCTCACAGTTTTTTAGCCTCCGGCTCACACGTTTTTGTCTCAGCTCAGGAAAGATGTCTCCAGAGCAAGCTAACTGATGCAGCAGCCCAATCGCTCGCTCACAACTTTAATGCCGGTAGCTCACAAAGTGGAATTTTTGCTCACAGGACTCCACAGCTTAGAGGGAGCATTGCCGGAGACCCCTCCTATCCCCCTTGCGAGAGCATACCTAGGCCACCCTTTGGATCACCCCCTCAGTCCCCTCCCGTAAGAAGAAGAAGGAGGAGGAGACTGGATTTATACCCCGCCCTTCACTACCCGAAGGAGTCTCAGAGCAGCTTACAAACTCCTTTCCCTTCCCCTCCCCACAACAGACGCCCTGGGAGGTAGGTGGGGCTGAGAGAGCTCTTTTCAAGAACTGCCCCTGAGAGAACTGCTCTGAGAGAACTTGTGACTGACCCAAGGTCACACCAGCAGCTGCATGTGGAGGAGTGGGGAATCAAACCCGGTTCTCCCAGATTAACCACTACCACAGTGCTTCCAGGCCATACCCCGCCCTTCACTACCAGAAGGAGTCTCACAGCAGCTTACAATCTCCTTTCCCTCCCCCTCCCCACAACAGACACCCTGTGAGGTAGGTGGGGCTGGGAGAGCTCTCTCGAGAACTGCCCCTGAGAGAACTGCTCTGAGAGAACTTGTGACTGACCCAAGGTCACACCAGCAGCTGCATGTGGAGGAGTGGGGAATCAAACCCGGTTCTCCCAGTTTAGAGTCCGCGCTCCTAACCACTACACCAAGCTAGAGGCCGAAGGGTTGGGGGTGGGAACCAAGCCCAATATGTTGATGCCCCGCCCATAAGCAAACAGAGGACAGAACCAGGAAGGCCAGCAGCAAGTAATATGAGTAGGGTTGCCAATTTCCTTATTCTAGCAAGGCTTCTGTGCACCAACAGATTGCTAAGAGCTGTTGCCGTCACTGCACATCCATGAAAGGAACGATTGTGTTGGCTGGGGTTGCCCGCTCTGGGCTTGGAAATACCCGGAGTTGGGGGGGGGGGCTGGAGTCTTTGGGAACAGAGGGACCTCAGCAGGGTATAATTATTGGGTTACATGTAAAAAAAAAGAAAAATCATTTGCCTTGGAAGCACAGAAGCTTTCCACAGTATCTCTGATTCTCCACATTTCCCGAAGAAGAAGAGGAGGAGGAGGAGATTGGATTTATACCCCACCCTTCACTCGGAGTCTCAGAGCTGCTTACAAACTCCTCTCCCTTCCCCTCCCCACAACAGACGCCCTGTGAGGTAGGTGGGGCTGAGAGAGCTCTGACAGAAACGGCTCTTTTCCAAGAACAGCTCTGACAGAACTACGGCTTGCCCAAGGTCATCCAGCAGCTGCAAGTGGAGGAGTGGGGAATCAAACCCAGTTCTCCCAGATTAGAGTCCGTGCACTTAACCCCTACTGTTCAAACAAATCACAAAGATGACCTGACTCCAATGGTAACGGGAGAAAGAAATTTTACTTGCAAAAATAGAAACACATCTTGACATGACAGATTCCTTTGGTACATTTAACGTGAACAGATTAACTCCCTGAAAGGTTAACTTGCTGGGGCTCCAAGCCCAGGTGTGTGTGTGTGTGTGAGAGAGAGAGAGAGGGAGAGAGAAGAGAGGTACTAAATGAGATGAAACACAGAAGCCAAGGAAGGTGTCAGCAAGCTGCCAATATGTTTCCCTATTCTCTGTGTATGCTCTTATGCTTCCCTATTCTAGGGGTATGCGCTTTGTTGCTTTTGCTTTCCCAAGTATGGCTGTTTATGCGCTTAATTGCCTAGTTGCAGGAACGTCTGTATCTCTCAAGGCCACAGGTGGTTGCTGGTGGGTAGTAGCTTGGGTGATCTCATGGCATTATCCATGAGAAGCAGTATGTTATGATTAAGTAGGAGCGTTGCTTCCCAGGCTCAATGGCGCATGCAGGAAGACCCGCAATTGGGCCTCAGCTTTTTGAACTTACTATAATCTATTGGGATCCATGCTTACGCCTCATTCTGAACAGTGATCCTGTTATGCACCTATCGCTTCAAATAAAGAAAAACCTTTTCTACAAGTGTGTGCTTCGTTGATGCGATGGGAGTCTGACAGAAGGTCCGGAGAGGCTCAGGATCTTACAGAGCAGAGGGCTGGGGAACCAACTGGCAATTCCACCCGAGAGAAAATTTAACCCTTTCCCTCCCGGATCCTCTTGCACGCAGAGTTACACTATCCAACAACAGTGCCATAGGCTCCACCCTCCGAAGCCACCATTTCCTCCAGGGGAACTGACCTCAGTCATCTGGAGATCAAGGGTAATAGCGGGAGATATCCAGGTCCCTGGAGGTAGCTGGGGTTGGTCTTCCGAGTGGCCCGACCCCCCAGTTGCAGGCAGGAGCCCCCAGCTTCAGAGATGTGCTGGCCGGCATGCGTACCTGGTAGGCGTGGTCCACCGGCTCCACCATGGGGCGCCCCATCTGGTACAACATGGCCGTGTAGCAGAGAAGAATGATCAGCAGAGGCAGGAGATAGACCGCCAGGAAGTTGTAGAGGATGAAGGCCTTCTCATGGGCGACAGACGGGAAGGATTCACTGCAGTACGTCTGTGGGCCAAACCAGTAGCCCTCGGTCAGGCGGTTGTAGATCAGCACCGGGGTGGAGACGACGAAAGACCCTGCAGGGGAGGTACCGCGTTTCGTGACCAGCGTTCCCTCAAAGCTGCGTTCGTGTGAGCTAGCTCAGTTTTTTAGCCTCCAGCCCACACGGTTTTTGCCTTCGCTCAGGAAGGAGGGCTCCAGAGCAAACTAACTGATGCGGCGGCCAAATCGCTCGCTCACCACTTTAACGCCAGGAGCTCACAAAGTTGAATTTTTTGCTGACAGGACTCCACAGCTTGGAGGGAGTGTTGTACATGACCGGTCTTGAGTTTGAGACAAAAGTAGGGATTTCTCTTGTGGTTTCTTAGCCCTTGGTAGGGTTGCCAGCCTCTAGGTGGGTCAAGTAACGAATAGATATACACTGCAAGAAACATTCGTAAATTAACGTGTTCTGTTTATAACTATCATTCTATAAAGTGCATAGTGTGCTATTATAACATCCTTGTCAGGTACATACATTCAGTTTCACAATAACCTTCCGTTTATTCAGTTTAGCAACTACCAGTCAATTTTGCATCAGTATTTTAAAAGTCAAGCCCCAACGGGAGTTTTCAGAATTACAAGCCCGCTTCTACTCGCACGAAGTCTTCCAAAAAAGGGGGGGGGAGCTTTCATTTACAGTTGTGTTGATGCTTATTGCCGGTCCTACAAAAGACACATTGTGCGGCTAAGATTCATGGATGGAGCGCTCCTGTCATTCTCAAGGCGCCGTCCATGACTTTTAAAATACCAATGCAACATTGACTGATAATTGTTAAACTGAATGAACTGAATGTTATTGTGAAACTGAATGCCGCGCACCGTAAGACCACCCCAAGGAGCCGATGGAAGAGAGAAAAAAGACCTCTGCCAAAGACACCGCCGCCTGGATGTAGCAAGAACCCACCATGGAAAAAGACCTACGTAAAAAGGAAATCTCGGCTGCTTAGGTGCCTGGTAAGGCATTCACCCTCCACACACACACTGTGGCCCTAGGTAGTTGATTAAATGTTCAATGTAAACCGCTCCGAACCTTCGGGAAGGAGTGGTATAGAAGCCTAATATGTAATGTAATGTACTGAATGTATGTACCTGACAAGGATGTCAGAATTGCACACTATGCACTTTATAGAATGATAGTCAGGGGTCATTTCCTGCGGGAGCGCACAGGAGTGGAGCTCCGGCAGTAAGGAGCCTAGGGGGCGGGCACATGCGACGAGCCCCGCCCCCTGCTCCCAGCAGCCCTCAGTCGGGCCACGAGGAGCAAGAAGCAGCCAGGTAAGTTGCAGAGGCCTAAGCGGTGGGTGTTGCCTTCTGACACACTTCCGGTGATGTCAGGGGGTGCGGCATATGCAAATAAACTATGCTAATAAGTTATGCTAATGAGCCCCTGCACCTCTTTTTCTACGAAATGACCCCTGACGATAGTTATAAACAGAACACATTAATTTACAAACGTTTCTTGCAGTGTATATTTATTCATTAATCGACTCTCCTAACACCGCAGCTCGGGTTGCTACAGCCTCCAGGTGGGGCCTGGAGATCTCCCGCTATTCTAGCTGATCTCCAGACAATAGAGATCAGATCCCCTGCCTGCAGAAATAGCCCGCTTTGGAGGTAGACTCTACGGCTTTGTATTCTGCTGAGGTCCCTCCCCTTCCCAAAATCCCACCCTCCCTAGGCTCCACCCCCCAGATTTCCAGGTATTTCCCCATCCAGAGCCGGCAACGCTAGCACTCAGGATGAAATTGTGTTTCTCCTCTCCCCACTCTCCATAAAGAAATAGGATTGTATGACATCGGTTTTCGGGGATATGTCAGAAATGCTGTAACGGAAATGAACAAAGGACATAAATGAGTGAGGAACGCAGGGGTCATTTCCTGCAGGAGCGCACAGGAGCGGAGCTCCGGCAGTAAAGAGCCCAGGGGGCGGGCACATGCAACAAGCCCCACCCCCTGCTCCCAGCAGCCCTCAGTCACAGCAAGAAGCAGCCAAGTAAGCTGCAGAGCCTCCCCCCCCTGGCCACCCAGCCCCAAACAGTCCAGTGGCACCTTTAAGACCAAGTTTTATCCAGGTACAAGCTCTCCCTCCTCTGCGAGGACAGATCTGCACGTCCCCCCCCCAATAGCTAGCAATCCAAAACAGTCCAGTGGAGCCTGAGCGGTGGGTGTTGCCTTCTGACACACTTCCAGTGATGTCAGGGTGTGTGGCATATGCAAATGAGTTATACTAATGAGTTATGCTAATGAGCTCCTGCACCTCTTTTTCTACGAAATGACCCCTGGAGGAATGTATAGGCAGGAAACAGTCGCCACAAATAGTTACGAGAATGGAATGGAAAGCGGCTTCTCTGAGACGACTGAGGGGTGACATGATTGGGGTTTATAAGATGATGCATGGGATAGAGCAGGTAGAGAAAGAGGTCCTTTTCTCCCTTTCCCACAACTTGTGAGCACTGAGCAATCGGGTCAGAGCGGATAAAAGGCAGTTCTTCTTCACCCAAAGAGTGATGAACACGTGGAATTCACTGCCACAGGAGGTGGTGGCTGCTACAAGCACGGACAGCTTCAAGAGGGAATTAGATAAGCATATGGAGAAGAAGTCCATGAGCCACAATGTATAGATAGGAACTCTCGGTCTGGGGCAAGGGATGCTCTGTATTCTTGGTGCTTGAGTGGGGGGCAACAGTGGGAGGGCTTCTAGTGCCCTGGCCCCACTGGTGGACCTCCTGATGGCACCTGGTATTTTTGGCCACTGAGTTACACAGAGTGTTGGACTGGATGGGCCATTGGCCTGATCCAACATTGGCTTCTCTCATGTTCAATTACGTTCTTATGTTCTGTACATCCTGAGGAACCTGCTAGGCAAGAGGGCGGGCAGGTGGTGGTGCCAGCTCCAAGTTGGGAAACATCTGGATTTCCGGGGGGGCTATAATCCTGATGAGAGCGGGGTTTGGGAAGGGGCAGGACTTCAGTGGGGGTATAATGCCATAGAGCCCACCTTCCAAAGAAGACATTTTCTCCAGGGGTAGTGACCTCCGTCACCTGGAAGATCAGTTGTAATCCCAGGAGATCTCCAGCCAACGCCTGGAAGTTGGCAACCCTTGCAGCAGGTGGCACACCAAGCCGGGGACACGACGTGAGGAAATGGGGGCAACAAAGCAGGGGTGGCGTCCCAGGGGTTCGCAGCACACTGGTGGAGGGCCCCCGAGGAAGAATATCTTCTTAGAGGAGCTGTAGCCCCACCCCCAGAGGTGACAAGCCAATCCAGCACTAGTGGGTGGGGCAAGATGCCCTGGATGCATCCAGGGTGCTTCAGGATAGGTGTGCTAATTCAACACTAATGGTTAGAAACCGGGTCAGCAGGCATGTATCTCGTTTTTGGAAAGACAATGATGGTATTACAAGAAGCGGGACCCGCGATACTCGTGAAGGGGGAGTATTCCTAAGGGCTCCCAGCCTGTAGAAGCAGCTCTGCAGGTAAGGCTTCTTCCCCCCCCCCCGCCGAAGCCTGAGCACCGCCTCCCAACCGCCGGGCCTGCTGATCTCCCCCCTGGACACCGGCGACCAGGCCTGAGTGCCTCCCAGCCGCCAGGCCCACTGCAGAGTTCCCAGAGCGTTCTCTGCGCATGCACAGGGAATACTCTTACTTTTGGGGGGGATTTAAATACCCCCTGTACAGTTTTTAAAACTTTTCAGATTTTTCTGCACACCTGGAGTCTGCCCCAAGGGTGCAGGAAAATCTCTCTGTCCTCCAAGTGCCCTCGATGTGCAGATTTAGGTATCCGCACGGAGGGAGCAACTTGGCTATTAGATACATAGATTATGAATGTCTAGCTGGTTTGCAAAAGCTCACAGACCTAATTTTGGCACAGATTTTTTTTTTTTAATAAAGCTCAATTTTGTAATGGCCTGGAACATTTGTGTTACTGTAATACGTGCGCATTTGCTCTGATGATCTGTTCTGGATGAGGAAGGATGTACTCTGTGTGTGTGTGTGTTTGTGTGTGTGTGTGTGTTTGTGTGTTGCTGTCAAGTCCCAACCGAATTAAGCAACCCTTCATAGGGTTTTCTGGGCAAGAGATGAGCAGAGGTGGTTTGCCAGGGCCTACTTTACCTTTACCTTTTACCTCTGCATAGAGACCCTGGAATTCCTTGGTGGTCCCCCATACCAAATACTGACCAGAGCCGACCTTGCTTAGCTTCCAAGATCTGATGAAATCAGGCTAACCTGGGCTATCCAGGTCAGGACATACGTTTGTGTGTATATAAAGTTTTTTTATAACAATGACAGTGTGTTAAAGGTAAAGGTTTCCCTTGCTCAAAAGCTAGTCCAGGGGTCATTTCCTGCAGGAGTGCACAGGAACGGAGCTCCGGCAGTAAAGAGCACAGGGGGCGGGCACATGCAACAAGCCCCACCCCCTGCTCACAGCAGCCCTCAGTCAGAGCAAGAAGAGAGATACGCTGCAGCGCCCGCCCCTGCCCCCCCGGTCCTAAACAGTCCAGTGGCACCTTTAAGACCAAGTTTTGTTCAGGTACAAGCTCTCCCTCCTCTGCCAGGACAGATCTGCATGTTCCCCTCCCTCCCAATAGCTAGCAATCCAAAACAGTCCAGTGGAGCCTTAGCGGTGGGTGTTGCCTTCTGACACACTTCCGGTGATGTCAGGGGGTGTGACCTATGCAAATAAGTTATGCTAATGAGTTATGCTAATGAGCTCCTGCACCTCTTTTTCTACAAAATGACCCCTGAGTCAAATCCGACTCTAGAGGGCTCATCTCCATTTCCAAGCCGAAGAGCCAGCACTGTCCGAAGACGTTTCCGTGGTCCTGTGGCCGGCGTGACTAGATGCCGAGGCACACGGAACGCTGTTACCTTCCCACCGAAGCGGTACCTATTTATCTACTTGCAATTTCCCACTTTCAAACTGCTGGACTGGCAGGAGCTGGGGCCAGAGATGGGAGCTCACTCCGTCACGCAGCACTTGGGTCTCGAACTGCCGAACCACAGACCTTCTTTGTCTGCAGGTCAGCATCTTAAC